AAACTCTTGAATCATGTCAGTATTGTTCACAGTTTCACTTTTATGTAAAAAGACAGCTCTAGCTCCACAATTTTTTGGAGGTATATACACGAAAAGGAAGGGGGGCGAAGAAAATGGTTGGAGAATGTTTGAAAGAAGTGTTATTTTATTCTTGCAACATTTTTCATTGACAATTTTTTGAAAAAAAAGCTTCCCACTGATTGCTTTTTGAATCAAGAAAATTTTCTTGTTTCCTCTTCAGCTACCATAGTATATCAAAAACCATTATCACTTTTTGCAGAGGTCCTTAGTTAACACTATCACTTTTATTCTCTTGTCTCTGGAGTATCGAATCCATGCTTCCAGGAATAGAGCGGGCAGAGCATTACGGTCACTGGTGCGGCGCGGTCGCTTATGAATGGGACACCAATGATCAGCTGATGTCCATGTGCTTAGGTAGCTAATCATTGATGTCCCATTCACAACTGGCCGCGCCGCGTCAATGGCCGTAATGCTCCGCCCGCTATATCTCTGGGAACCGACATAAGGTAAATGGAACTCTCGGTTTTTCTGTTTGCCCAATTGGTATTACGCTTTAGTAATCAAAATTTTCTAATAAAAATACAATTATATCAAAGCATCAAATTGCGTCTCATCAAATTTTTAATTTTGAATAAAATTGAGCAAATGTCGACAGTCCAGTGAAGAGTGGCACTCCTGAATAAATCTAACCTAGGCAGTATACCTCACTTTCTGAACTGGTTATCAAAATCATGTCAATACTATTGCATGAAGCCTTAGAGAGATGTTTGCTTAATAGTTCTTTCAAATGTTGACTTTCTCCCACACTCAACCATCGTAAACGCTCATTTCTGTTCTTCAATGACGATGAGCAGTTCATCTAAAATGGGAAGCAATTATGCTGCTGTTGCGTTCAGCACCAATGCAAAATATCCTATGTACAGCTATGATTTCAAAATGGTGGGTTGAAAATAAGGGCGTTCATGCTTTTCAGAAAGATTTAGGTTTCAGGATCACTACTCCACTGGAATGTTTGGAGCCATTGTAAATTATGCCACCTATGTTCCTGATAAGGTTTCTTGTACTTTCACTTGTTTTGGTGGGCATACCTTCCGCAAAACAAAAAACGATCCTACCGAAGATCACAGTTTTGTACAAATCCGATCACATTAGAAAGTACGATTAAGCACGGAGGAATTCGTCTAGAATTTGTTTAATGCAGAATCTTTGTTTAATACTAGTTTTGCAACACCATCCTTAG